GCCAAAAAATCCGGTCAATAAGAGATTTATTATATAGCATAAAATTTATTTGCGCTAATAGGAATCTATGAATGACTCGTTTATTTCGAGAGCCGGGAATTTTGTTGCACAATGAGACCACAAGGGTCGTTTATACTTTCTTTGTTTTGACCGCATCCTTGCTGCTTTTTGCCGACGTTGTCCAAAAGTTACGAACTTTCAGTTGTAAGTTCGTTTCACGTCTTTTTTTCTTACATGGGGTCAAAGTGGGCAGTCCGTGAAAGCAAGATGGGCTTAAATTGGCGCTGCCAGTTATAAAATAAGTGATTAATATATATTAAACTTCCCCTTAAAACATCAATGGATTTTTGAAAAAAGTAGGTAAAAAGAATAGCAAAAAACCTATCAGCTAGGGAGTGTTGTCTGTACTAGTATATATGGGAGGCTTGGGTTCGCATCTCCTCAAGGCTTGAATTTTTTCGAGGCTTCATTTGTGCAGTGACTTAAACTTCACCTAACCTGCGAGGATTATGTCTTCACTTTAAGATATAATATTTATATATATTTAGCATAATTGCCCAGGTGATGATAGAAATTTGCACGCCCTGATTGATCGAGGATTGCGTCATATCTCGCCATAATCACATCGCGCGAGGTGTTTATAGCAGGGAGACCAAATTTGATAATGGCTGTCTCGCGTCTTGTCAATATTTCCCAGAAAGTAATAAACACGATGGAAAAAAATTTCGATTTCTAAGAGCTCAAACATGCTACTGAGTTTCATGGAACACTTTTCAAAAGAAAGACAGAGAGTTTTTGCTGATCAAATTAATTAATGAAAATAAACCTAAGAGTAATCTATAGAATTGGAGCCGGTAAAAGATGCGAAATGCTTTCTTTATTTAAAGAACTTGCAAAAACATTCGAAAGCACCTGAGTAATTATACTAAAAAATTTATTCGCCTCAGTTTAAGCGAACATCGTTAAGTGATCCTTCGCCTTCAGTGAATAACTGTTAAGTATATTTTCTGTTCTGTTTCCCTAATGATGAGTTTGTTTCTTTTTGATCACTGGTTTCAAGCGCAAGTAACAGACATTTACCCTAAACCCAAACAAAAGAAATCAGATGAGAAGGTGAAAGAAAAAGGGAAACAGAAGTCAAAGCCTGATGCGGAGAAGCAAGAAGTAGCCGACCTCAAACGCCAGTTAAAGACAATTGAGGTAGAATGTGAGAAACTTCGAGGAAAGAATCGCCAATTGAGACATGATTTAGAAAACAAAATCATGGAGGAGAAAAAAGCAAAGACGAAGTGGACAACAGAAGCTAAAGCTAGAAAAGATGCCGAGAATGATCTGTCACTATCGAGAAAAGAGTGTGAAAGTAAGTATCCTGTTTTTGATAGGCTCGCGTTCATTTTTCGTAGCCGCTTTGTTGCCAACGTTCGTTTTAACGCTGTTTTGGCGACTTTCTTTGTAACGCGTGCGTTGTTATCAGTCAACTGTATAAAAGAAAAAATTACAAAAAAAAAGAGAAAATGAGAAAGGATAACAAAAGCGAGGAATATATCGTATGAAGTCTCCTCACATTTTTTCTGTAGCTGCTTTGTCGTTTACGGTCCTTTTAACGCTATTTTGGCGACTTTCCTTGTAACACGCGCGGTGTTACCAGTCAACTGTATATAGAAAAACTCAAGGCCGGAAACTTCAACCGGCCCAGAACACCAGCCGTGGCCGCTCGAAGACCGATAAATTCCACAAAATTCGACCGATCTTCCTAAAATTTCCACCCGCGAGAGTGCTCAGCTATTACCTACCCGCTCCAGAGGAAAAAATTTCCAAATTCCGCTGCATCGACCCGAGAGACACTCCGTTTTACAACCCATTCTGGCTAAATCGCTTTGTTGGTACTCGTAATCCTTTTGCCTTTATTACAAGGGGTATCAAATGGTCCCATTCAATTTAAAAGTGCTCGAAATTTTGGCCTTTGCTCGAATTGCTCGCAAAAATTACACGGGTGCTCGCTTGCTCGTGCGCATAATTTTTGCGACTGCTCGCATGCTCACAGTCTCGTTAATAAGTGCTCGATTGCTCGAAATTTCGGTAATCCTGCTTTGCAGTTATTTTTTTATATATAAATAAACGATAATCAGTTATGATATAGTTAAAAAAAGGTTGAAACATCCTTATTTTTGGCTTCAGTCTTTCTTCAACAGCCTGTAACTGTTTTGGAGGCGCTTCATGTGTTATCTGGAAAACGTACGAAAGCTCCATAACAAGCATTTCGTTCATTGGTTTATTCTTTAACATATTTCATCGTCACAAGCTTTCTGCTTGAGAGGGGCACACTTCCGCAGTTAAAATATGCGATCTTTCATCTGGTAACTTGTTTTTTCACCATCTACGGGTATATTACAAACTCAACATGACCAGGCCCAGTTGGCTTGAAAGTTCAGTTAGTAGAATACTGCACTGGTTGTCGGAAACATGGAGACACCTCACGCAAAAACAATTTCGTAAACTTTTGTAATCAGATATTTGTTGCTGGCAAGCCTTAGCGAGGCAGTAGCCTATTCTATACAATAGCGAGAAAAAGCCAAAATTTGTCGGATGTAAGATCGGAGACATACGCAGTCGATTGCGTTTTTTATATCCGGGGTGCTTGAGATGGCATCACGTAAAATACACATGGAAATATCGATCAATTTCGAGCAATGCCCGTTGAAGTAAACAATTCGACCACTGAGTTACATTTGATCGGTGAGGTGAAAGAAAAGCTTGCAATCATAGATTCAAAATGTGAATCGCTCGTTGAAGCTAACCATTCAACAAAATGTGGATCGCTTGTTAAAGCTAACCATTCAACTGCAAATTCAAATGACTGTTTGGGCTTAGAGACAAATTCTGAGTCGATTTCATCCGTGGAGAGCATCCATTCGACCGTCGAGTCCAATTGTTTTTCAACCTTTGAGTCAAAAGAAAACTTCTCGCGCACAGCATTAAGTTGTCGTTTGCTCAATGACATTGAACATTTCTCAAAATGTGTAGGTCCTACCGAAAGGCGGTTTGCGAGTTTTGAAGGTCAAAAGCTTGATTGTGATATTTATAGTATAAAGTATTGTGACCGAGGCAGGTTCTGATGTTGTTATTTGAACAACGAGACAGACTTATAGCCACAATAAAATTTATTTATACAGGAAAGTACAAAAGAAATAATACTAATAAAAAAAAGGGTGATTGCAAGCAAATCCTCAGTAAAATAGGTCACTAACTTGAGGTTACATGTACTGGAGTTACTTTTTTTGTGACCAAAGGTTCTGAGCTTGTAAGTGCTGGTCTTGACACTCTGAACTACTGAGTTAAACTAACTAACTGTACTTCTTTTATAAGGAATCGAACAATAGCAGGAAATCCTCTAAAATTTTGGAAGTAAGGTGTGATCATTCTAAAGGAAATTTAGCTGCAAATCCTGTGTTTAGGATGATTTGGTTATCATAGGAAATAGTTAGGTGTGATGGTGCGACTTAAAGGAAATTTATGATGCAAATCCTGTGTGTATGGTAATTTGATTATCATAGGAAATAGTTTTTGAAGATGTAATTCTAAAATTATAACAAAAATTTTAATGATCACACCAACCTTGAGGTTACCCAAGCAATCGAAAGAGGTGTCAGAGCAACATCAGCTTTCAAAGAGGCTGATCCTGTTATATTAGAGTGTAAGTATAGATTAATTTTCTATAATTATGACTATAATATTTGGTGGCTTAATAGCTGGCACATTGGACTGTGGATCAGACATTTGGGTTTGAGCATTGGCCTGGACCAGTGTGTTGTATTGTGTGTTCTTGGGCAAGACACTTTACTTCCATAGTTCCTCTCTAGCCTTTAACTTAAACCAGCTGTGACCGAGGCAGGTTCTGATGTTGTTATTTGAACAAAGAGACAGACTTATAGCCACAATAAAATTTATTTATACAGGAAAGTACAAAAGAAATAATACTGATAAAAAGCAAGGGTGATTGCAAGCAAATCCTCAGTAAAATAGGTCACTAACTTGAGGTTACATGTACTGGAGTTACTTTTTTTGTGACCAAAGGTTCTGAGCTTGTAAGTGCTGGTCTTGACACTCTGAACTACTGAGTTAAACTAACTAACTGTACTTCTTTTATAAGGAATCGAACAATAGCAGGAAATCCTCTAAAATTTTGGAAGTAAGGTGTGATCATTCTAAAGGAAATTTAGCTGCAAATCCTGTGTTTAGGATGATTTGGTTATCATAGGAAATAGTTAGGTGTGATGGTGCGACTTAAAGGAAATTTATGATGCAAATCCTGTGTGTATGATAATTTGATTATCATATGAAATAGTTAGGTGTGATGGTGCGACTTAAAGGAAATTTATGATGCAAATCCTGTGTGTATGATAATTTGGTTATCATAGGAAATAGTTTGGTGTGATGGTGCGACTTAAAGGAAATTTATGATACAAATCCTGTGTGTATGATAATTTGGTTATCATAGGAAATAGTTTCTGAAGATGTAATTCTAAAATTATAACAAAAAATATTGCAATGTCATACACAATTGTGAGCCTGGTCACAGTATGGAGAACACCGGCAAGGGTTAATTAATGCAAATGACACCCTTTATCGTTGCCCTTCCTTTTGTTCAGCATTGATGAATACTTTCATAACTTACAAGCAGGCGATTTTCACTTTTAGAAATGTCACTATTTGAAGTGAATCAAATGTTTTATTTTATACTTTTGACCCTCATGCTAGAAACGTGATGGCATGCCAAATTCACAGTAACTATCAAAATCTGGAGATTTGAACTTGGAACATTCTTTTGTTCTTCAGCAAATGAACTGACATATGAGTGTTTTAGAAATTGTCCCTCTGACGCCAGCATCCACTTTCACATTTGAAACTACTAGTTCTGTTTATATAGTTATTAGTTGATTGATGGACACGTGAACATTTACTACCATAATCGCATGTACATTAGACTTTGATCAGTCCTTTTTCGAAGCGAGGACGAAGACGAAGTTTTGTTTACGAAGTTAGGGGGTTTACGATACGAGGTCATTTTTGTTGTATATCAGGACGAATCAACTAAACGAATCAGTTGCAATGCAAGTCCCAAAGTTTACGACACTGGTATCGCAGAGGTTATGGGTTCTAATCCCGTTCAGACTTGAAATTTTTTCAGGCTTTAATTTCACACCTTCTTAAGTTGTGTGTAATATCAATAATCAATCGTGTTCACAGAAGCAGTGTCAGTTTGTAGAGCTCCTTTAATTTATTCTGCTGGATGTTGTAAGCTTGTTTGCAGTTGCAGCTTTTCAATTCCACCAAGGGGGAGGAAGAAGTACCTTGCGGCTTATGGACGTGCTTTCAATTAAAACGATCTGAAAACCTTAATGACGGGTGGTGACATAATTTTCTGTGGAGACAACATTACTTGCGAACCGTTGTTGATCTAAATATTCCCATTTATTTGAGCAATTTACCAGGCTTTGTAGATATGATGGATTTTCCATTGGTTAATGGCAAACAAAATGGACGGAGTCACAACATTTTGAAACAGTGTACTCGGATCGCATTTTGTAGCAGTTTTTTCAACCTTGAAAGCTTCCTGGCCACTAGTAATAATAACTATTATAATCTGATACCAAACGGTGGCATATGAAACCCGATTAAACAAAACAACATTAATAACAACCCTTGGTGGTTTGTGCTTCACCGGCTCAGGAAAATTCTTAAATGAAATGTTGCTTTAATCATTTTGATCAAAAACTAAAGGCCTAGCCAAACTCGGAGACATGTCTAGAAACTATGGCATGGGTCGCACTTAGTAAAGTTTTGCGAAAATTTGTTTACTCTGCAGCCAAAATCTGTCATCGGGGGACAGTGCCTTGTGCGACCCCAACTTTTCCAGTTGGCAAAAACTTCGAAAATCTGCAAAGATATCAAAGACGCCGTAGTGCTTGGGTGGGGCAGGTAGATTTCAGAAAACTTGAGGTGGACAATAGGAATCACAGTGGTAACTATCAACGCTTGTCAGAGAATAAAAATTTAACAGAGAATTTGTGATAAAATTAAATAAGAAAGCGCGCGATGTTGCTCAGGACGCGCTCTCTATTTGCCTTGGATGGACATGGATTACTGGCAATCCGTCGCAGTTCCCCGCTTTTTCGGTGGAGGAGCCGAATGTTCCCAAAATCTATATGCTCACAGCTAAATTTACAATCCCAGAGGAGCACTTTGTAGAATTAGTCACTACTGAAATCACTGCTGATTTAAATAAATGAAAAGTAGAAATATCACTTTGGTAGTTATTAGCAATGTTGCAATAGGTCGCATTCTTGTTGTGTTTTTCCTTGGAGGTTTTCTTTTTAAAGCCGAGCTCCTTTCTTCTGACAACACATGAATAAACGCGTATTTGGTCTACTTCAGTCGTCATCACTGACGCTTTTCTGCACCAGTGCGACCTTTGACTCAGTTTGACGCGAGTTTTGCTTTGCTGTTGTGGTCTTAAATTTTCTGTGGTGTTTTGGACGGCAAAGTTGAAGACTTTTTAAGTACGACCTATGCCTATGTCTCCATGTCGCGCGGAAACACGAAATAGAGGAATTCATCTCGAGAGGCATCCGCAAAGGTAGAAAGTAATCAAGAGAAATACTGCAATTACCAGTACTATTTGATCTTAAGAGCTACTATTGGTGCTTGTCAGATCTGTACGGCTGTAATTAGTTAGATTCTAGAAGCCTCCAAACTGAAATAAAACTTCATTGCGTTCAATCTTTTTCAGTCAATCAGCGGGAAAACAGTTTGCCGATCATCGAAACCGAAGTCCGAAATGCATGTTAGACTGAATGTCACGTTATTTACATTTCATAAGAACTATATCATGAACCAAAAAAAGCATACCTTCCGTTTGAGCGTCGGGTTAGAAAGAGATGGAAAACTTTAGATCGCGGGCTTTGGATCTAGTACATCTTCTTGAGAGCTCTGACTGACTCATGAGAAGCTACGTGACGTAGTTTGGCATCAAGAAGGGCACAATTGGATGTAAGATGCTGAGACTAGTTGCACCGCCCTAATTTTGCACCTATTGTTCTGTTTTGGAGGTGTCAGCCAGATTATTAGCTCTTACTTGGCGTAAGACAACGTATCCTATTAATAAGAGAGAGATTCCGGAAAACTTACGAAGTACTCGAAGTGCTCGCTGCTCGCCATCTTCATTTTTCCAAACTGTTCGTTACTCGTCATCTGTATTTTTCTAAAGTACTCGTTGCTCGCAAGAAAACTTGACAACTGCTCGTGCTCGCAAAAAGAAAAAAATTTAAAAGGATAATAAAAGCGAGGAATATAATGTATGAAGTCTCCTTACCTTTTTACTGTAGCCACTCTGTCGTTTAGGATCCTTTTGACTCTGTTTTGGCGACTTTCTTTGTAACACGTGTGGTGCTACCGGTCAACTGTGTATAGAAAAACTCAAGGCTGGTAACTTCAACCGGTCCCGAACACCGACCGTCGCTACTCGAAGGCCGATAAATTCCACAAAAGTCGACCGATCTCCCTCAAATTTCCACCCGCGAGAGCACTTTGCTACCACCTACCCGTTCCAGCGGCAAAAGTTTCCAAATTCCGAGAGCCGCACACAACTAAACAAGACTCTCCAGGGAATCGATAAGAGGGTTGTTGGGTTTGCCTTATTAGGGACCTTAGGCAGTCAGGACGGCAACGCCAAGGAAGACTTCGATTAAAAAATGAATTTCTACTTAGTTAGAATTTAAAGAATGGCTGCATGAGCTTACTACTCATGCGGCGCCACAGCTCAACTTCAGCATGACGTATAGAAGTAGCGTTGAGTTCCAAATGGAAAACAAATTAATTTGCCGTCGCGGTTTCGGTTCGCAGACGACGCAAATTTTGGCGATTTCACGTTGTTGTTTTGCATAGGACGGCTAAGAAATGTACAAAGTTTCAAAATGCACGTGCTGAGCTATTGTTCTGCCAATTAGATCTCTTGTTTTTCCACGTCCTCGTTGCCGTCGCCGTCGTGGTTGCTTAAGGTCCCTATTGTCAAACAACACCGTTTGGGAAGTCGTGCGTGTAATTCGACCGGATTTACTTCGATGTTTGAATCCCGTAGTAGAGGCAAGAGGATTAGCGTTCCTACAAAGCGATTTAGCCAGAATGGATGGTAAAACGGAGCGGTTCTCGAATCGATTCAGTGGAATTTGGATACCTTTGCCACTGGAAAGGGTAAGTATTAACAGCGTTAAAAGGACCATAAACGACAAAGCGGCTAACGGGAAAAAGGTAAGGAGACATCATACATTGTATTCCTCGCTTTTATTATCCTTTAATTTTTTCTTACTTCTTTTATAATTTTCCCTTTTTTAACGGCCCACGCTTACGCTTAAAATTCGATCTTAATATGTTAGGTATTCCCGTTAATGACCTTTAGACCTCAAAATCACACACAATACGCTTGGGCCGCCTGTGTCTGAATAAATTGTTCCATCTTGTTTACGAATGTAACGCAACCGACATAAGACCTTTGATCTCGTGTCGTCCTCAGAAATTCTTATGCGACCGGTTTTATGGACCTTTGCACAGAGATCTTTTGATGAAGCAGCTTTGGTAAATATTCGAAAACATACGACTCTCGTGAGAATCACCCCAGAGTCTGCAAACCGGATTTCTAGGAGAAATCTGCGTCGAAGTAGACGTACTTGCCATTTTGACTTCGGAATAATGCATAAACTATCTTTAAATCAATGTTTACATAAAGTCATTTTAATCCATCAACCAATCAAAATGACGGTTTCATCGGCCGATGCCAGGGCCTTTTACAGCCCCACACCCAACCGAGGGAAAAGGCCCTGGGAACGAGTTTGACGGTCATGGCAGTAAAGTCAGACTAGGTGTCAAACATTACATTTTCAATATAAAAAATCGTTAATAAGAATATACACCGGACCGCTTTTTGAGACTGCGTCTTAAAGTGCAGCTAAACTGCAACTCGGAATCAATCCATCACTAGAATATCATCTGCAAGTCATTATATGATTTAATTCATTAACATTGAGATTTGATTTCTTAAAGGGAACAAAGTACCCTTTAAAATGTCGTCTCGCTCCAAAAATGTGGTTTTATCGCATAATTGATGTAGTGCGCAACCAGTGTCTGAGAGGCTTGGGTTCTCATCTCGTTGAGGCTTGAATTTTTCAGGCTTCTTTCATACAATTACTTAAATTGCAGCTAGCCCATGACAACGTTTTATTCACTTTAAGATATACCATTTTCCCTCATACTTGTTTACAATGAATGAGATTGCTTGTTTTTAAAGGCGTTGAAGCTCGACTCAATCGTCTACAAAATAAATCAAATGAAAACGTTGAAAAAGTAAAAAGGGAAGAGAGGTCAAAGCTAAAAGAAACAGAAAAGAAACTGGAGGCAGCAGTTAAAGCTAGAGTAGAGGAGAGTGAGTCGTTGAAGATTGAAATCAAAAATTATGAAGCTAAACTCAAAGATCTTCAAAAGAATTCAGATGAAAAACTGGAAAAAGCAAAACAAGAAGAGAAGTCAAAGCTTGATGCGAAGGAGCGAGAACTAGCCAAGCTCGAAGGCAAGTTAGAGGGACAAAAATCGGAAAATAAAAACCTTAGGGAACTATTAGACAAACTTAAAGTGGAAAATGCACGTTTGAAGGAAGTTTTGGATAAAAAAGCTGGGAAGCTAGAAGAAACAGAGGAGAAATTTCGGGCACAAGTTAAAGGTGAAGGAGATGCCTTAAATAAACTGGCGAAATTGAGAGAAAGGTCCGGACGTAAGTATTCTGTTTTTGGTAAGCGCATGCTTTTTTAAAGGCTGCGGATCTAAGTGAACGCTGTATCTACGTCTCCATATCCACCTTTTTCGAAATTTTATCACTTTTCAAAAGAAAATTCTTTTATGTTTAGGTTATTCTCGGCTTAAGAGTTTTAAGGTGAATAGAACCGCAAAATCGGTCGGGTCTGAGGTTCGAGTTCCAGTTTAAAGTGGGACTTAACGATTTTATTCTTTGTTCCAAGCTCGTAAAAAATGCAAAAGGTCTTTCTTTATGTTCTTCATTTAACCTTTTTTTCAGGGATATAAATCTTAAAATGGTTGTTTTGTTTCCGTATATCTGAAGCATGTAAACTGCAATTTATCGTTACATTGATCGAAGTCATGGCACACTTATACTCCATTTTTAGCACAAGCTGATAATCAAGGTGCTTATCTTACCTTTCGGTGTCCACGACAGAAACTTATATCCACTTAATAATTTTTTTTTCTTATCAATGCAGGTGTTTTTCGCTACAAAAACGATTCTGACAAATATGGAGTTATCTATTGGATGGGATCGAACACCAGAACTGTTGCCTGGGAAAATCCCAGCGAAAAGAGCGACCTAGCGAAAAGAGTAAGTGCCTCAAGATCTTCTGACAAATTAGGATCGGCGAGTGATCTGCTTAATTATACTAAAACCAAGAGGAAAATAAGCTGCACCGAAGACAAGAAGGAATCATGGTGGTCTGTTGCTTTGAGCGAAAAATTTTCATTGTATCTCACACATTACACTTTAAGACATGGCGGGGACAATGAAAAATCATTCCTTCGTAATTGGCAGCTCGAAGGATCGATAGACGGGTCTGACTGCAACTGGAAAGTGTTAAAGAAACACAGTAATGATTGGACGCTAGAAAAATCCCCTTCACACATCGCTACCTGGTCAATCGAAGGAGAAGTAGGAGCTTTCCGGTTTTTTAAAATTGTTCAGACAGGAAAGAATTCTTCGAAAGACTATGGCATTTACCTATCTGGTATTGAACTGTACGGGGTACTAATAGAAGGTCCCAACAGTTAACTAGTAAGCCAACCATTCAACAACGTTGAAGAACTCAGGGATTAGGGACTTTTAATATTACTTTCTTCAATGAAAAGTGACCTCTATTTAAGGAACACTTTTTCTTCATCCCCTATATGGAGATTCCATAATAAATATAACTTTCAACGGACTTAGACCTGGAATGGGTATTTTGCAAAACTTTGTTTGACAGGATTAGGCGGAGAGTAGGAAGATTTACCCCCTTTAAACATAATCGCCGCTTAGATAAATATCCCACTGATTAATCGGGACAACCCTCCGATCATCGATTATCATTGAAAGAAACTTCTATTTGAAGAACACTTTGTTTCGACACGAGGTTCTATTATTCTATCGTTTTGATTGTTTCATTTGCTTTTTTAAAGGGCGACATTTCCAAAAGAAATTTCTGTTGTTCTATTGTTTTGATTGCAGTCGTTGTTCTTTGCTTTCTATTTAATTCAAAAAACAGACATTATTTTCCATAATTGTAAGCGGTGTAGTGCAATTCATTGCCTGATTGAATTTCAAAATTTATAGGCAAGTTGCGGGCAACTTTGCTTTGTTACAACATCTACATCAGTATGCTGATAAACAGAGAACTGCAGCCTAATAACAGGTTGCCAATGTAGTCAAGTGTTTGATTGGTTGATAAAAGGAGCAGTAAAAGGAGCAGATTACTAAAGACTGCTACAGGACAGAGAACATTTTATGGATAGTAAAGTGATACAATTATGTAATATGCCTTATGAATAATATAATGTGTTTTTTTTTCTTTTTTACGGTATGGTTTTTGGCGTGCATTTTCTGAAAAGCCCTTTCAGGACGAGAATAAAGTTTGTATGTATGTATGTATGTAAAGTGTGACTTGATTTTCGTAGAACAGTGCTCAATACATAGAAGTAGAGCGAAGTATATATTGTGGGAGGAAAAAGACAAGTAAACTACAAGTTCATCCCTACAAGCCTGTTTCGTGGTCGCCCACTCATCAGGGGATTTAATGAGAATAAACTTTACCATTGCTTATATACAATATAAGCAATATACATTAAATCTAAGTTGGTGGTTCAAGCATGCCTTATCAAGTATTTAGTTGAGTGCCGGCACGCACTCGCCAGTTCATAAAATACTGGTTGACTAACGATCCTTTTATAAGTTGGTGGTTCAAGCATGCCTTATCGAGTATTTAGTTGAGCGCCGGCACGCACTCGCCAGTTCATAAAATACTGGTTGACTAACGATCCTTTTATAAGTTGGTGGTTCAAGCATGCCTTATCGAGTATTTAGCTGAGTGCCGGCACGCACTCGCCAGTTCATAAAATACTGATTGACTAACGATCCTTTTATAAGTTGGTGGTTCAAGCATGCCTTATCAAGTATTTAGTTGAGTGCCGGCACGCACGGAATATGCTTGCTTACATTTTGCAATTTGACGATAACAAGATAATGACGAAATCAGGTCGTTTATGAAAATTTTTTTTAACTTATTTGAGAACTCAGGCGAAATGAAGAGGAGGAAACTCTCGAGAAGTTAAGTTTTCGTCGATTTCAGGCTCTCTCTCCTCCGCCATCACGAAGGTGTTCTTGGTAAGTCAGTTTTTGCTCAACAATTGTAAACTCCTACTCGGATTGTACTGATCGAGGAAAAATAAAAGCTAGTTACGTCACTGTAATTACCCACTTGAAAACTTAGGTTATATAATATTCCTGAACTGACATATTTATGGAGAGTTAAAGCGAATCATCTTCCTTGTTCTGATAATTTCAAGTTCTAGTGTTTCGCTGACCTAAGGCAGGTGATCACGAAGGGAAAAAGCTCGATTTACATTTGCATTATTGAAAATTAGCTGCTGACTGATGAAAGAGTGTTACAGATTCCAACATTGGAGCAGACCCCACTGAAATAACTGGCTGCACATTTGAGGAAGGGAAGTTAACACATCTCAGATTGGTTTTGAGGACGATTCCTTTTCGGTTTGTGGCTGAAGGTTTTCCTGCGAGGTAAGTTGTCAACCAGTAGATCCTGAACACGGATGATTTTTGGCATTTTTTCTGATAGGCCTGACAATGAAGCCATTCATAGCCTCTTACAGACGAACTGATTACCTCTTAGCCTTCCGTTTTAATGTTATTTTGACCTTTCGTGTTGCTGCGGTTTTTGATTTGTTTAGGTGCATCTCTATTTCATCGCGCTCATTCTCACTAACACATCCTAGAGAGTTGAAACCAACTTGTTTACACCTAACAATGATTGAGATAGTCAATAAGCATTATATTGTTTAGGAGACTGTTTGGACGACATTAGCTGATACAGACAAAGATAATGTATGATACATTTGGCATCCATAACGTATGGTTTTTTAACATGTGCAAGTACTGCAGGCCGTGTGCAGGAAACGGTTGGAGTAAATTTAGCAAACGATCCGTAAAAATTCTTTCTTTGTATCTCAGCAAGGTTTCTTAAAGCGAAGCTGACCAACTGAGAATGCGGAACAACATTAGCGGCTATCATCACTCCTGCATAAAATCACCCTCTTGATTTTCACAGAAGTAATCATGGGCTTGCAATATGTCATCAACGTAAGCTTTCTAACAAAAGTGACATTTACTAAACTAAAGGTTATCGAATCCTAAGCGTGTGAAGTTCTATAAATTTTGATAAAAATTCTTAGAAAACACTTTGGCTGAAAAAGATGGAAACTTATCGAAACAATACTCAATCAAGCGGTTAGTTCAAGTTTTGTGTATTTTTGCATATTGTCTTTGCTTCTCGGCCGATAGAAGTAAACTGGGTTTTAAAAATTCCTTTTTTTTCTAAATGATTCAAAATGTTATCTGGCACAACACCTAAGGGATACCATCTGCTTTACAAAATATTGATACGAACAACGTTTTGTTTGTGTTAACAAGATAAATTTTTACATATAATTATGCAATGTTTACAAAAGATGTTTGAGAACTTCTGTGTTATTGAACCATGTGTCCTTGATGAGTGTACAGTTAGTTTACTAATTGAGCTAACGTACAGGAACATAGACACTCGTGCACACTTGTCTTGCCCCGTTTAAGACACCCGCATCAAGAATTTTCGTTCTTGAGAGGTCCATTGGAATTTTTGTGCTCCTTAATCAAATCAGAGCAAACGAAGGCGGAGGTGAACATTAATCCACCTGAAGTCATTTCTCATTTCTCTGTGGTGAAATATCTCTGAAATGTTAGTTATCTGCAATCACTGCCAATTTAGGGTCGCTGAACTTATGAGATTTATGAATCGATTTTTAGCTGTGATGCAAATATCACTGCGTAGCTTCATGAAAAGAATTTGGTAGGAAAGCCCTCTAAATCCATCGAATAATATTATTCAGATACAATGAATATATGAAGTTCATATATTTTGTACTGCGGTATTAGATGCGTATGGTGCACGATCCTCGCAGTAGATAGCGCTATTTATGCAATAGCGAAAATCAGACCTGAAA